CAAATTAGTTGCTTCAGTAGTTTAAAAAGCAAATACAAAGACTATATAAAATGACCAATTTAAATATCCAAACTTTGTCTAGTAAGAGGATCAGTTATTCCCACTGACACAGGTAGAAATTCTGTTGGCAAAACTACAGTCCAAGTTTGTACTTCACTGTTTCTTCATGCTTAGAACTTGCAGGGTGAATATATGTATACATACAGGTAAAAAGAAAAAGGAACATTTATATAATTGGAATTATCCAACTAAGTAATATGCCAACTAAATAATTCTCTGTGCTGGTAAAAATATTGCTTTACAGCTACACAACTTCATGATTTTTTTTTCTTCATGTCCCATATTTGACATTTGTTTTACATTAATTTAGACTCCAACAGAAGAGTGAACCTCCCTACTGTGGTTTGAGCTCTTACCCCAACTGTCTAGCAAATACTTCTCAAAAATTTAACATGCTTGCAACAGAATCACCACAACAGAACACGTGCCTGAACACTCCAGTCCACTGATCAAGGCGGATTCAGGTCATGATGCCAGCGTAAAACACTGTGGCTGAGACACAGCACATGTTCCTTCTTGCCAGCCCTGCTACATAAGCAAGTCAGACAGCTGGATAAAGGAACACCATAACACAGCTATTTTGGCTGTGTTACTTTAGTCCTCTTCTCCTCGGCTTTCTTTTCTATCACCTCCTCACTTTGAAGCTATATTTTCCCACAACTTTTCTTTCCTTGCTGTAACTCTCAATTCTCACTTCTTCCAGCATGCATCTTCTGTACATTTTCCTGGGGAATCTGATGACCTTATCATCAGTTAATGTTTAAGTATTATAATTTGTGCTTCAGAGGAAACAATGCAATTAGAAAGAAGAGGAGTGAGTATATCATAGCCACTTCTGGCTGACTGCAAACTCTGGCAAACATCAATTTACATTAAGTGCAGATTTCACAATCAGGTTTGAAAACCCTGTTGTAAACAAGTAATTCCTTAAGCAGTAATGAAGTCCATGTATGTATACTTATCTCAGGTATGAAATTTTCCTGCAATTAAGTGTTTTTATAAAGCCTCTCTGCTACATCTGAGATAGGTGCACTGCAACCTTCCAGGGTCTATTTCCTTTAAGCTGCCTTTTTTTCCCCCCCACACATGCTTGTTTGAACTTAAGTACTTCTGAGATCTCTTCACCTTTGTCAAATGGGACTGAAACAGGCGAAAGAGTACTGGTGACAGTACCCTCAGACTCAGAAGACAGGCAGGAAAAGGACAACAGCCAGCCATTCAGCATGACTCCACAAGTCTTACTTCTTTCAAAAACAAAACAAAAAATTGGATGGTAAGATATGCATAGACTTCTCATGCAGAACACAGTGCTACATCATACAATCGACATCTAGCTACAAACTATGTATTTGATGTCAGTGTGGGGGGCTGAATCAATCACTGAAGACATTCAGTGACACTGACCCTGTATATAAGATGTTAAACAAGCAGATAGAAAAGGGAACATGTAAACAAATACCTGAAACATGAAGAAAAGACTTTCATGTCTAATGATACAGTTTCTAGATTAGCATAGTTTTTAAATTTCATTAAACTTTTCCAGGCTGTGCTAACATAAGCAACCAGTTTCTAGAAGAAACACCGAAAACCAAGTATTACTACCATTACAACTTCCTTCTGTATGTTTAAGACTGACATCTTTTTAAGCTACAAAGATAATTTCTATCTTCTCTGCTTCAGCTACTAAGACTTGACACTTTTCAACTGCTGGCAAGTGTTTGCTGGATTCTAGGCAACAGAAGCAGAAGTACTAGATTCAACCTCTATTTAATGGTGAGTATAGCTTGGGGCACGTCTTCGCTGCAGTTAGCATGGGTTACTTTACCATTTCTCAGCCGTGCATAAAAGCCCCATATAATTCAGTCAGGTAAGGCTTTGATTGCAGTTTAATGCATGGATGAGGTTAAAAGACCAAGTTTTACTTTCACTGCAAAGACATAAAAAAAGAAAAAAGAAAAAAGAAAACACGCTTTTAACCTCATTCATTTTGCAACAAGAACAGTGGCTAAATCACTCAAGGGCAAAGGTATTTTCCAATGCTTTTCTACGATGTCCAGTCTTGTAATTAAGGCTTACTATGGCACAAGGAATCACAGGAGTGGTGATGTAGAGCAAAGAAGTCCAAGGAAGCTCAAAGGGGATACAACACTAGGAGAGAGTACTACAGGAAGAGCTCTGCCATCACTGGAATGAATAATATTGAGGCTAAGGCAGTATTGTTTGGCCAAACAACCAAACAATATCTAAATTGATTAGTGAACTAATGAAGCATATGAAAGAACCAAGCCTTCGTAGAGAGAATGTGCTCTTGTAAGATCATCTCAAAAGGCACCATGGCTAACAAACTAAAAATACTGGGTATCAGTCTTCACTGTACCCACACAACCTGCCAGTGCTGTAAAACGTAATATATTGCTTTCTAGTATTCAGAGCTTGAAAAACAAGGATCAGATGCATAAAATGTGAGTGAGTCAGCAGAGTGAAACCTGAATTTGGATACAAAAAAAGAAGTCAGGAAACGCAGGACTGTGATGGAAGAGTTTCTTCAATGTAGTTCCAGGCTGCTCTGTTACAGATAATAAATGTACATGTGTGTTAGGTTTGTGTATGCACAAACTGTCTCTTGACAGAAATTGCCTGTTACTGGTTTTGTACTAACCAAACACAAGAAGAGAAGCGACAGTCTGAGAGTTCTTGTAAAACACATGGGGAAAGGCAAGAAAAACTTAAGAATTTTTAGAAAGTTGTCTGGCGGTTTATCAAACAGTGGATTGAGACAAAGAAGAACTGTCAGGAAAAAAAAAAAAAAAGTATTACTCAGTAATTAGATTCCTTTTTGGTTTTGCAAAAAGATATGCTTAAACGAGTATATGACTCTTGTTAAAACTAAAAAGATCTGCCTGACTGCAACCACATTGTTCTAAACAACTCCACAGTAAATATCAAGTGCTTCTTCACACTCTTTACTGAAATATTTTTAAATTTTAAGAACAGTCTTATATTATCTATTAAGTATTGCAAAAACTTTTACAGGAGGTATCCTATGCTAGCTGTCCCATCTCACAGTACTATTAAAGCTTATAAACTAGAAAGGCACAGGAAAAACCTTGTGCCTGGAATTTATCCACCCCAGTGCACACAACTATGATTGGACAGATAATACCGAATTGCCATCAGAATTTCAGCTTCATGGATGCAGATGCTTCAGTTAATCATAAGAAGATTTTTAGGTGAAAAATTTTTTTTCAGGATCGACCTAAATGGCAATGACATAATGTCATTTCTGATAAACATACATACAGAATAATCTTAAACTAGCTGCTTAGCCAGTCCAGATCTACAAGTTCTATGCTGCCCAGAAGTGAGGACCCATGCTGGACCTAAATCAAGAGGCCAGCACTGAACTCATGTTGACAAAAAAGCTAGTGGTAGTCAACCACGGGCAAAAAGATGTTAGCTAAAATTGCAATAAAATGTGATTGTTCTAGCTCAAGGATCAATCACACTGACTCAATAGTCTAACCTAAAATCTAACTACTTCAGAAAATGAAAACTCCTGAAGTACATGGTATATGTCCTACAACATCTGGCCATATAAAGATGTTGTTATACAGCTCATGAATTCCAGTCAGACTCTCCAAGTCTGAACAAAAAGCTGTAATCTTCCATATCACAAAAAACAATACTCCAGCTGATCAACAACCACCTGAGCAATCTCACTCCATGGGGCTTACAGGCATTCATTCATAATTCTCATGTGCCACCTCTGAAATGTCTGCTTGAGACGCTAAAGCCTCTTTGCAGTAAGATTTATGAAAACCATAAATCAGTTTCCAATAACATAAAATGTAAGCATTTCTCACTGTTTGGCATTATGAGACATTATAATCCCAATTCAGCAAATTAACAAACTAGATGACAGAGCCCATTTTTCCCGTCAACCATCTTTTCTCTTCAGCAGTGGAAACGGATTTGGGAACAAGAACTTTCATTTGGCCATGGAATAGGTAGAAAAAAAAGCACAAATGCAAGATCTTCTGCTATGAACCATGAACACATCTCTTCCATGACAAGCAGTAACTTCTACCTGACTAAGGGATATTTCCTTCCTTCAATTCGGCATTCCTCTACCAGTGAATCTACTGAGCTTCCTACCCCGCTTTAAAAAATCCCCAAGAGAGTCTTACCACTTCTGTGTATCTGCTTATAGCTCTAATTTATCAAGAGGGAGAGTAATGAAAAAGCAATCACTGGAAGAAGCCTCCTATCAGGTCCTGGATCGATGCAAACAAGTCAAATTACATGCCAACGCTCGGAGCGTGCTCGGCTGAACAGATCACGCGGGATGCTAACACTTTTCCGGGTAACCAGAGCAGCACCCGCCCGCTAATGGGCAAGGCAATTACAGCCCCGCCACACGAGCAAAGTGCGCGGAGAGCTGGGGACAAGCACGAAGTGTCTCGGGAGAAGGAGGGCGCTTCCAGAAACCCTGCCCTAAACCCAATATACCCGCAGTAAGCAACCCCGAAGTGGAGGCAACGTCCTAAAGCTCTCCCAGCCTCCGGCACGCTTTGGGGGAGAGCTGTGCTCAGCCCCCCGCGCCCCCACGCCGCTCGCGGCCAGGATTTCCCCCCTCGCCCCCAGCCCAAGCCCATCTCGCTCCAGCGCCCGCTGCAAGGCTTGAGCCTCCCAAAGCCGATTAATCCCGCTCCGCTTCCGATCCCCACCCCCGGCAGCGCTCCCGCTGCCCTGCCGCCCCGTCCCCCCGCCGCCGGGCGCTGCGCAAACCCAGCCTTTCCCGCCCCCCCCCCCCCCCCCCCCCAAACCGCCCGCAGCCCGCTCCCCACAGCCCCGCGTCCCCACGTCCCCCGCGGCCAGGGCAGGAGAGGGCCACCCCTGCCCGGCCCCGGCCCCGGCCCCGGCCCCGGCCCCTCACTCACCATGGTACAGATGGAGGCGATTTTGGAGACTGTCATTAGGATTTCCATCCGCCCAGCGCCATCTTCCGCCCAATCACAGTGCCGAGCCGAGCGGAGCCGGGCTGGGGCCGGGCGGGAGCGGGAGAGGAGGGGAAGGGAAGGAACGGGAACGGGAACGGAAGGCGGGCGACGGGGGCAGCCCCCACCGCCCCCGCCAGCCGCTGGGGCGCGCGCGGCCCCAACGGCCCCAACGGCCGGGCGCGCGGCTTCCCGCCGGCGCCACCGAGGCTCGCTCCCCTCTTTGCGGCCCCGCCCCGCCCCGCCTCGCCTCCCGCCGGGCCCTAGCGCCGCCGGGTCACCGGCCGGCTCAATCCCCCCCCCACCCCCCCCCCGGCCCCGGCCCCGCCGACTCGGCGACGCGCCCCGCCCCCCCCCCCGGCCAGCTCCTCGCACGGGCCTTGGCTCCGCCCCCTGGGCGCCTCCCGCGGCGGCGGGTGCTGCCGAACAGGCATGCGCGGCGCGGAGGGGGCGGGGCGAGGGCGCGCGCACGGCCGTTGGCAGGGGCGGGGGCGGTGCCTCCCCCCCCCCCCTCCTCTCAGCGGGGCCGTCGCGCCCCGGGATGGCGGCGGGGACGGGGCGAGGGCGGGTTCTGGGCGCTCTCAGCGTTCAGGCTTTACTTTTTCTTTTTTTTTTTTTTTTAATTCTTTCTGCGGACCTAGAGTTGAAAGCTAAAGGGCGGGCGCTGGGCATGCGCTGGCAGGGGAGGAGTGGGCGGCGGGGGGTGTTGGTGGATGTTTCCTTAATGCAAGTGCTGAGCTGCTTCCAGGGAAGGAGTTCGCTTGCGGCCCGGAGAGGTGAGGAGAGTGGATAGGCGTAGCTAAACAGTAGAAGCAAATTAAAAAACATAATTTAAAAAAACTTGCTGCCTATCAACTTAATGACTCTAATGCCACACTAATGTCAAAGCGACTTCTGGCATCTGAACACTGGTTGTCTTGTCAAAGCCGTTCCTCTACGCTCCCTCCCGGGAAGAGGGGGATGTGGAGAGGCACACGCCTACGAATTCCTCTTTTTCTTGCCTTTTTTCTTGCTTTGTCTCTAGACTATCAGATCTTTGGGTTTGGTGAGTCTGGGATTTGCCTGCCTTGGACATCCTGGAAAATAAAGCTGACCTGAGAGTAGTCTTATCAACTACTTGGGAATTAGATGAATCACCTAGATATACCTATTTGTCTGCAAACTATAACAGAAATCTGGATGACTCGTGCAAGATGTTGATGTCTGAAATAAAGAAGCCTAAAGCTAACTAACATATGTCCCACCCTCTTTTTTTTTCATATATGGGAAACATCTAGCAGATTGAGACGCATTATTATTAAGAATAATGTCTATGCACATAAGGCCTAGATCATAAACATCCTTTCACTGTAAAAAAAGGTATTTTAATATCTATAATGTCAAACCGTATTTTCTGTGATCTTCAGAAGCAAACATCCTTTAGCAATCAAATTAATGGAAATAGTAAGCTTTCCTTCAGCTAAAACATACAGAATATGACTTAGAAAGTTTTACAACCAAACACTTTATTGCAACCTGAAATATCCTCAAGCAATTCTTTTACATAATGTCTGTGGTCTAGAAATGCATATCTCAAAAGTATAGTATTTGAGAAAATGAATGCCTCTTGGATGACTACATTCAGAAACTGTTGCCACAGAAACCATGGGGGAGGACAGTATCAACGGAATGAGAAAGAATAGAAACAAAAGAAGTGGATTGGCCATTTATGCGCAAAAAAAGCAAGAATGGGTATTTGGCCGGCTAGAAGTGTCAAACCTTCAGATACCCAGCAGTTCATCTACTGAAATACAACACTGTAAGCTACATCTGCAATATGATTCCTTGCAAAATTAATCAGGCATGCTACAAGAGATACCCCTGTATAATCCAGAGTGGACAGTGTGTTCAAAATATGACACAAGGAAAATATGACAGCGTGCTGTCTCCCCGAAGCAAAAACACAAAAAGCAATTGCTTTATTGCAGAAGCCTATAAGGTTATCTGGGAGATAATTCAGTTTGGAACCAATTATGTGGAAACAAGTGGAACGGTATAGGCCATAGAAACTGCAGGAATCTTGAAAAGCACTCAAATGGAAAGTCAGAGATTGCCTTGAAGTTTCTTTCTGCCCATAAATTAGAGAAAGAAAGCAAAATATACTTAGTGTAAAGTGGTTTTTATGTCTCTAGTTCCAAGGAAAAATTTAGATATTGGGGAGTATCAGACCACATTTCAGAAAGGGCAAGGGATGTACAGCTATGCTGTCCTGCATCTGACAGGTATGGGCTAATTGCGGCTGGAGACTAAGCAGAGGAGCTGCAAAGATTCTAAATTAGTAGCATACAGAGAGACTGATTTTTTTTTAAAATGGCATGTAAACTGAGATGCTATGTTATGAGCAAACTGAACTCATGCCGCATAGAATAATGGGAAATACAGAAACATTTTTTATACCATCAACCATTAGAATGAGGTAAAATATGAGGGCACGAGTAAGAGAATCAGAAATTATCACTTAATTGTCATCATTAAGCCCCTTGGTGTGAGTGGAATTATTCACAAGTCAAGTATTCCAGGGATTTGACCAGCTAAGGAAAAAGGGTGGGTAGACCAGAATTGTGCATGCGTTCGTGTACACTTGAGGAGGCAGAGCTTTGAAAGCAATTACAGAGTGATTGTAATGCATATAGATCAGTATGGTAACTAACCCTGTCTGAGGAAAGATATCACTCATATCTTGTATCACTGGGGAGAGACAAGATCCACCTGACAAAATGCGACAACAGCATCTTTGCCAACTGGCCAGCCAACCTGCTGAGGAGAACTTTAACTAGGAATGGGGAAGTCTCTTGGTCACAGAACCTGGGTTCTGGAGGAATTTCAGCCTGCCTGCCATCTGCTACAAGCAGCACACGTCAGAATGCAAGCAGTCAAGGAGATTTCTGAAAGGCATCAAGGATAACTTCTTGATACTGGCTGGGCCAACCAGGGGTGATTCGCAGCTGGATCTGCTCGTCACTAACAAGGAAGAACTGAGGGATGTGGTCATCAGTGTCTTGGTGGTCAAAGCCTGGGCTGTAGTGACTGAGGAGGGGAGTTTATGATCCTGTGGAGGCTGAGGAAAGAGCCCCTGGCTTTAGAGAACAGACCAGTTTATTCAGGAAACTGGTAGGTGGGATCCACTGAACAGCAGTTCCTAAGGGTGAAGTTGCTCAGGAAACGTGGCAGGAGATCATGGAGACCCTAATAAAGGAAAAAAAAAAAAAAAAAAAAAAAAAGAATAGATGCATTTGTATTTTCAGCAATGAGAAAGCAAAACTGATGTGCTGTAAAGAGAAAAAAGAGTGGCTAAATGTGAAATTAAATTCAGGCTAGGGTTATCATAAGATCTATATAGTTTGGTAAACTCATCCCATTCAGATATAGTGTCTTTTAATATAAGCATAAGTAGAGTTACTTAAAAATACAGTAAGCAGGTCACATCTGCAGAGATTAGGGGGGCTGTGTCGTGGACATCAGTGACTGAAAAGAAATTAAGTTAGGACAGCAAAAATTAATTTCCAGTCTAATGCTATGGTATAAGCAAATAATGGAATCCTTGACGATATAACCAGGGATGTGGCAAATAGGAAGAGGTGTTATTTTCCTTCTACATATGGCATTGGGGAGATTTTTGTGGTAATACTGTTCTAGCCTCTGGTGTCCTTCCTGTCAAAAGAATGCTGAGAAATTATTTGAGGCTGGAGAAAACCCTTTGCATGGAGAGATTTATCAAAAAGAAGACTGGAAAGTGACTAGAGTGAGCTTTAATCTTGCACAGTGAGAGATGTAACAAGAAGAATACCTGTAAACTGAAATCAGACAAATTCAAATTAGAAATTATGCACATTCTTTAGTAGTGGAACACATTAATGGTCTGAATATGCTGCCAAGAGAAATGGCACATCCAGTATCTTGTAAGGGCTTCAGTGAAAGAACAGATGCTTTTCTCACAGAAGTACATTAGTTGAATGGATAGAACTAATTCCCTGCCCTGAAAGTCTCCCAGATCATGTAGCTGTTATTATTACATAGTATTTAAATTACCGTAACACCTAGAAACACAAGTCAGAGGCCAGAGCACTTCACCTCCTTAGTTGCTACATAAGACATTAACGGAAAACCCCATTCTATCTTCTGAAGAACTTATGCTCCAAACGTACAGAGGCACCAATAGACACACAGGAGCAAAGAGAAAATAAACCAAGTGTAAGCTGCTGCTGCTCATCCTGTGCCTCTCCTTGTTTCACAATCTTGTGGTTTGGCAGGTGCCCAGCTTGCTTTGGGGTGTGTGGGCAGGTTGGCTTTAGAAATGGAAGAGTAGGCATGGTGCAGGTATGTTTGTTCCTGTATCATCTATCTGTGACTACACATGGTCTTGCTGAGTCTGGGACATGTCAGGTTTTTATTAATGTTGCTTGACAACAGAATCGGTCCCATGAATCTGTTTACCCCTCCTCTAACCAGTCAAACCACCAACTGGTCGGACTATTGCTGCAGTATCTGAATGCAGGTGTATCACATCTGTTCTTGGACTAGTATATAGTATGACTGCAAGATCATAGCATATTAGGACCATAGGATAATTCAGGTTGGATGGGAGCTCTGGAGGTTTCTAGTCCAACCTTCTGCTCATAGAAGAGTCAGGTCTGAGCTCAGAAAAAGCTGCTTTGTGTATATCCACCCCTTTACTTGTTCTGGAAACTCTTAGATTTGGGTCCAGGCATGATTGTGGTGGGTTTAACAGAAAACCATCAGAATTCACCATCTGCATTTTTGTTGACAGCCCAGTGAAGGTCATCCACAATTCTCACAATATATTAACCAGCCTTACTATGGAAATGCACCTTACTTTGTGGGCAATGGGTGTTGCAGGATTTGTGCTATGAGGTAACAGAGGGCAAGACTTAAATTTTCCCCAACTTTTCTAATTCCAAGAAAACCTGAAGCTGCATCAAATTACACAGAACTGGGATCTTAATACATAATGTGAGTGAAATTGGATCCTTCTGGGGAACAGAAGAGATAAACAGGAAATATATTTGGAAAGTCAAGTTATATCAAACCATCTTGTACTGACTGACAGGTAGTTAAACATCTATATTAGTAGATCAATCTTTGTAAATTATGTTGATGGTACATTTTCAGAAAATACAATTATTTTCATAACAGTTCTACATGTTCTCTGGAAGCCATAACAGAGGGGTGATGATAGACTAATTGCATATGGGAGGATCTGAGC